AAAAAAGAGGTTTAAAAAAATGTAAGTTACAATTTTTTTTTTTTTAAAGTCACATAATCAAAGCAATAAAAAAATAAATAAATTAAAGTCCCCCGCCCCCCACAAACATGCGTCGAGAAAACGACGATTACATGCATTGCGCCGCACATGTTACAGTGAGAGCAATCATTTTAGGGCCATCAATCGCTGATAACACTAAACTGATGAGCGGTAAAAGCTTTTAAAGCGTCGCCTATGGCCAATTTTGGTAGTTTTGTGCGATTTAACGGGTGCGCACAATTCTAAAGCTTGACATGTTTGGTGTCTATTTACCCGACGTGACCCCGACTTATATTTTACCAAAAAATTGGATAATAAATGTTTTATAACATAACGTAGGGAGAACAGGTTTTTTTTTCAAAATTGTCTGTACTTTTTTCATTATATAGTTAAAAAAAATAAAACCCCCAGTGGTGATTAAATACCACCAAAAGAAAGCTCTATCTGTCCCCAAAAAAATGGTATAAAATTAATTTCAGTACAGCGTTGCATGACGGAATAAATGTCAAAGTACCGCAGCGCTGAATACTGAAAAATGGCCAGGACAGGAAGGGGGTGTAAACACGCCGGTCAGCAAGTGGTTAAAGCAAACCGATTTGGAAAAGTGCGGCTTTTAAAAAAGACACCAAAAACAGAATTAAACCAGATAAAGATCCTTCTAGTTTCTCTAATAATAGGACTTTGTTTGGCAGCTGTGGGATCCACCATTGGGGTCCCTCTTACCTGTGTGCCTTTTGTAGTGCTTCAGCATATTGACTTTCTGTGCAAACTTGCGGTGACACTCTAAACACTCATACTCCTTGATGCCCTTGTGAAGCTTCATATGATGCCGCAGAGCATGTTTGGTCTTCATTCCTGCAGGTCAGTGGTGAAAAGAAGGGAGATCAGATATTTATTACAGGTATTTCTATAGTCCCAACAATTTATGCAGCTTTTTACATGGTACACAGGAGCTTATAATCCAAGGTCCCTATTTCAAATGCACATCGCGAACTACACCGGCCCCTGGAAGCGATCTGGCGGCAGCTCAGCCGCCAGAAATCGCTTCCAGTGTAAAAGCGGACAGTCAGCTTTACACATGTCCCAGCTGCTACGGCCTGTTTGAAGGGGCCCGCTGCCAGCGACGGGGGTTAAAGTCCACACCATGTTTTATGTTACATCCATATTTAGGGTGTAACATGGTCATATACACAGTCCCAAAAACCTACATCACACCCCCATCTTCCAGGGGAATCCTGTGATTGCTGTGTGCCTGGCTTCGCCCACAGAGCAACATCATTTGGATCTGGGTCACTTCCTGTTTGTCCCTAATGCCATTGCAGCCGACGTGACACATGCAGAGTGCACTTGAGATCCCTCCTCTCTTTTTGTGCTGTAGTTCAGCCTCATTTCCTCCAGCCAGGTTTCTACCTACTTACAGACCAGAAGCTGGGGAAAGTCTATGCATTGCACTTTCAATCAGTCCCCAATGCATTGAAACAAGCTCTGCAGTAAATGCACATCGATCATGAGGTCATAGTTGCTCCATTCACTCATTTTAGCAAAAATGGTACAAAAGGTGGAATAAGGCTTTCAGTTGGTGACTGCCAATATGTACTCCGAGGACATTATCTGGTTCATCCGCAATCTATTCGCATAGTGTGTCAGAGACCATCTGTTATTGCGAATGCACGGGGTCCCGTTTTCCATACCATTGGAAAACGCGTGGATGCGCGCCACGGAATGGGGCACAGGAAGTGACGCAGTGCTCTAATAGATCACACTATTTAAACCAAGCCTGCCTGTCTCCAAATTGAGGGATTGTCTTTCAGCTCCCCAGTGTTCCTTTGCCTTGTATTGCCTAACTTCTGACCTGGATTGTTCGTGACCATTCTTGATTGCTACCTGCCCTTGATCTTGGATCATTTACTGGACTTTGCCTCTGCTTCATCCCTTTTGTACCTTGCCTGTCCGATTGGTGTGACCTTGGCTTGTTTGACCCCGATTACGGATGTTGCTCTGCTCTTCACGCAGACCCTGGACTGAGCATGGTGTCATCACCACTGGCACTCGTGCCACTCGCTGTCTGCTTGGACTCTGTACCCAACTCCAGAGTCCTCGGGACACGAGGTACAAGGGAGGCCTCCTCAAGCATTCAGTCTTCAACCAGGTACGTGACATAGTGTAACAATACATTACCTTTCCCACACTCTGCACATAGATACTCGCGGATGTTGTCATGGACTCTCATGTGCTCTTTCAACATATCCTTTCTAGCAAACGACTTGCCGCATTGTTCACACCCGTGGCTTTTTACCCCTGGAGGAAATGTAACAAGCTGTTAATGAACAGAAATGTATTTTTACTTTACATGAGGAGGAATGACAGTACAAAAAAAAAACAACAAAAGGATTTTCATGACTTCTACAAACAAAAGAAAAAGCATTCCCATGACATGACTGTAGTCGGCATACCATTACCTGAGTGAATAAGTTTGTGTCTTTCCAGGTTTCCTATGCTGTTGAAAATCCGGCCACAAACTTCACACGGATGTATGTATCTGCAGAAAAACACATCAAGGACATATATATCATCACAAGTTACACAACATCTGCTGCACAATACCAATAGATGAGCAGTATCATTAAAGTAAACCTATACTGGCCAAAAACATTTAAAAAGTGACCCTAAACTCAGGAGTTAAACCTTTAAAATGCATTTAAGTGCCGTAATTATTAACAGTATGTTATTTGTGTATCACTCGGCTGTGGATCCTCAAATCATCTCTGAATTGGTGCTGACACTGTCCTTCCTTCTGGAGGGGGGCAACTTTTGTTCCCCATGGTCCCTGTGTGTGTTGTAAAGTAGTCATCGCTCCAAGCTCACTCCTGTGATGGTCTACAATCTTAATACAAATTAGTAAACTAAACATGAGATTGTAGTCCAACCCAGGAGCGAGCTTGGAGCGGTGACTACTTTACAACACACACAGGGACCATGGGGAACAAAAGTTGCCCCCCTCCAGAAGGAAGGACAGTGCCGGCCAATTCAGAGATGATTGGAGGATCTACAGCCGAGTGATACACAAATAAGATACATTGCTGTTACTAGTTAAGGTACTTGAATGTATTTTTAAAAATTTAGCTTCTGGAGTTTAGTGTCACTTTATATGGTAACAATAGTGAGGTTCAGCACCTGCAGGCACCCGTGTAACCCCACAAAATCGATTCCCATGTCCTTGGGGAACCCCCTGTATCACAGGCTTTACAAGTTGAAATTAAAGTGGAGCTATGGGCAAAAATTACATATATGATGCAGTCCATCACTAACCTTAACCCCTTCATGACTGAGGCCCTTTTTTAAATTTTTGCACCCATGTTATATTCCACATTTTAGGCCTGAAAATGACGTAAAACCCCCCAACATTATATATTTTCTGAATGCCAAGACCCTATAGAATAAAATGGTGGTAGTTGAAAATGTTTATGTTGCGCAATATTAGCGCAACTCCTTATTAAACCCCAAAATTTTGTGACAAATTTAATTAAATGCCCCAAAACACAACAAATTACCCATTTTTTAAATGAAATATAAAAGATGAAGGTCGTATTTTGTGTACCGAGTCCCCCCGGTAACATAGTTTTATTACTTGTTGATCCCGCCAGTAGATACATTATTTTTACACTTCCTGTAACAGGGGGACATTGCTGTTTGATCTGCACGGAAAACACTCTGCAGCATTGCCACCCTATGGCACACACAACGCAGCAAGTTTGGTTCAGTACAGGATCCTTACTTTTGCACTTCTGGATCAGGTAGGTTCTCGCGGTGAATGACCATGTGCGCATGGTATGTTGCTTTGAGGGCAAACCTGCGGTGACAGATGCTGCAGTTGTACCCATTCTCAGCATGGACATCCATAATGTGCTTCAAGTATTCCTTCCCCCGAGCAAAGGAGATCTAAGAAATAAACAAGGACATTTACAGTTGGACTTTATGATCATCCTTTAGCATTGTTTCCAGCTCTTTCTGAGGACCGACAGTGTGGCGGCTTGCTAGTGCTGCCCGAGGAGAATTCCTTGGTCCTAAGTTCGGCTTGAGATAGAGGCGCTCTGCCTTGAAACGCGTAGCCTTCTCCACATTATTCTTCCTAATTTTTTTGTTGGATTACTCTCCTCCCCTTTCCTCTTCTCCGTGCTGTAACATTGTCCAGGACCAAGGAATTCTCCTCGGGCAGCACTAGCAAGCCGCCACACTGTCGGTCCTCAGAAAGAGCTGGAAACAATGATAAGCTCAGTATATAGGGAGCTACAGCTTGCGGTATATTGAGACCGCCGCAGCCAGGACGGATCCCGACATTACTGTCTGGATCCACCCAGCTATGTGAGTGACAGCTGGCTCTGCCTATCTAGAGGCAGAGCCAGCTGTACCCGCCCCCTCCCCCGTCCATTTCGCCAATCACCGCTGGAGCATCAGACAGGGGAGGGATCCTTGCAGGGAGCCGTGAGTGACAGTCACCGCTCTCTGCAGGGATTGATCGAGAAGTGAGCGAGCGCCAGTATGTGTTCGCTCACTTCCCGATCTATTGAGCCAACCTGTGACAGTTTCATTGTCACAGGTCGGCTAGAACTATGAGGATGAGTGATTTTCACTCACCTCATAGTTCTCCTTTAAGCCATTACGGCTCAGCCTGGCCAGCTTGCTCTGCCGCCTGCACTGACTCAATGAGAAACGGTTTCCACATCGTTCAGCATCATCCAGCTGCCCAACCGTCACCTTATTAATGATATATTCTCATATGGAATTTTTTGCATCAACTAAACCAACTTGAAATCACCCAGAATATATCATCTGAGAGTTGCTCCCAGCATCACAGAACAGGATAATCCACAGCCATCCTTAAGATAGTGACATCCTCAAACAAAGCCGAACATCTGCTTAAAGACATCAACCATTTCTGCATCAAGTGAGTGGCATTCCTTTCAGTTACATAGTATCAGAACACTTGTCACATTTTATTATGTAGCTACAAATTGTTATTTATTCCATCCCCATCATCATTAAAAGGAGAACTATGGGGTCAGGGCTTTTCCCCATAGTTCTCCTAAGGGAAACGGGAGGACACAAACTAGCGTCCTCCCGTCACCCTAAGCTCAGTATATAGGGAGCTACAGCTCACGGTATACTGAGACGCCGCAGCCGGAATGGTACCCGACATTACTGTCGAGATCCACCCAGCTGCGGGATTGACAGCTGGCTCTGCCTATCTAGAGGCAGAGCCACCTGTGCCCGCCCCCTCCCACGTCCGTTCCGCCAGTCAGCGCTGTAGGATCGGACAGGGGAGGGGGGAATCCCTGCACAGAGCCATGAGTGACAGTCACGGCTCTCTGCAGGGATAGATCGAGAAGTGAGCGAGCGACGGTATGTGTTCACTCACTTCCCGATCTGTGACAGTTTCACAGGTCGGCTCAGATTATGAGGCGGAGGGAAAATCACTGGCCTCATAGTTCTCCTTTAAATGTGTTAGGTTGTAGCGCTCCCCTCTTTGCATTTTTTCCTGTTGAACTCATTGAACTTGTTTGTCCTATAGTTGCCCCTTAACCCATACCTGGCACCTCTTGCAGGCATACTTGTGGGGCTCAGAGTCCTCGCTGGCATCGGAGTTGTCGTCGTTTTCTTCCGAGATGTAGGATCGGACAGGGGAGGGGGGAATCCCTGCACAGAGCCATGAGTGACAGTCACGGCTCTCTGCAGGGATAGATCGAGAAGTGAGCGAGCGACGGTATGTGTTCACTCACTTCCCGATCTGTGACAGTTTCACAGGTCGGCTCAGATTATGAGGCGGAGGGAAAATCACTGGCCTCATAGTTCTCCTTTAAATGTGTTAGGTTGTAGCGCTCCCCTCTTTGCATTTTTTCCTGTTGAACTCATTGAACTTGTTTGTCCTATAGTTGCCCCTTAACCCATACCTGGCACCTCTTGCAGGCATACTTGTGGGGCTCAGAGTCCTCGCTGGCATCGGAGTTGTCGTCGTTTTCTTCCGAGGAAATGCCAATCTTCCTGATAAACTCCTCCCGCTGCTGATCGTTCATCAAGGCGATGTCCTAAAACACACAACCCATATGAGAACCACCCGTACCTGATCTTGGTGCATACGGCGCAATGCCACATACAGAACACATACCTTGAAATGGATGTGGATGTGGTCTCGGAGGACGTCCACTCGGAAGAATTTGCGCCCGCAGATTTCACAGGTGTATTTCTTGTCTCCATGAGTGAGGAGGTGCTTGTTCATATTACTGCGACAGGAGAACATCTGCAGAGACACAACACAATTAGGATGGTGTGTGTGTGTGTGTGTGTGTGTGTGTGTGTGTGTGTGTGTGTGTGTGTGTGTAAATGTGGCTCCCTGGCCCAGCGTTCAACAATGATATTAACATTAGCCTCATGGATGAAAGCGCCAAGTCATCCAACCTGGACTAACAATGTTACAGACGTGTACACAGACATGTTACATGATGCTCTGTTCAGTGTCACCTTGCAGCTCATCATCTGGAACTCTACCGCAGTGACAGGTACTCATTTATGTAACTGAAGATCACAGAGAAGGTCTGACAGAGTGTCTGGAATTGTTACAGCTCAGGAGCAAACATTGGAAGAGATGTCATCATCAGTCTGCTTATACTTGGCTGGCACAGCACCCCTGCGGCGCTGGGGTCCTGGGTTTAAAGTGAACATGTGCTTATATTTAAACTTCTAGAAAACAAAAGTCCAACCTAAGATTAAACCCCAAACGATGCCAATGACAGGCAGTCCCCGAGTTGCAAACATCTGACTTGCATACGACTCCTACTTACTTACGGAGGCTATTACTGTACAGCAGGGGGTCCCAGGCTGCAGCCAAAGTGTACCGCACAACATTTCAGTACTTGTAATGCTACCACGCTCGTGCCGATGAGGAGTGCTTGCCTTTTTGGCTCTGGTTCATAGTACTGTATGTACATTACAGGAAGTTGGCTCGTTAAAAGGCCAAACGAGGGGTGCCCGCCTCTTCTCCCGGGTCACTGTGAGGTTTTTACTGCCGTTTGTATCCTCATTAGGAAGATTTAATCTCACTTCCTGTCCTTGAGACAACAGGAAGTGAGAGGAAATCTACCCCTGGGAAGGGAAATTCACTCCTGTAAGAGTGATCATGGTAAAAAGGTGTCTCCACTGAAGCTTTATCACCAATCCTTGTTTCCAATTTTCAAAATCCAATTGTCACAGGGACAGAAAGTGAGGTGAAATCTTCTGAACGGGGGAACACAGCAACACAAACGTTACAGGAGGTTAACCCTTCTCCATGTTATCCAAAACTAAAACTAAAATTTGGGCTGGAGTTACACTTAAAAAATGTACCTGTTTCAACTTCCATACAAATTCAACTTAAGAACAAACCTACAGAACCAATCTGGTTCGTAACCCGGGGACTGCCTGTATTTCCTTTAGTAGAAAAGCCTTTGTGCCCCACTCTGATTTAGTTTCACTCTGTTACGGTCATACTTATCCTTGAGGCTAAGCTCTTTAAGCTGCCATTCTCTTTCCAATGAGAATGCCCTTGCTTGCTATTGAATCTTGCTCACTGTACATAGGTTGGATTGGCAGGGCTTAACGGTAACCTCATGGAACTGTTACCATAGACGTTTTTATGGCCATGTCACCTTCCCTTTAAAGTGGAACTCCAACCAAAATGTAATGATATAAAATCGACATCAAAGACTCACTTTCCCACACACAGGACATGCGGATGGTTCCTTCTTGTACTTTATGGAGTTATCGGCTGCCTGTTGGATGGACTCCCGCTTCACCCTCCTTACACCTGCAGGAGAGAATAAAAAGAAAACCTTGCATTAAAATATTGCATCTGTATTATATGCTGGAGACAGTTAAAGGAGAACTATGAGGTGGGTGAAAATCACTCGGCCTCATAGTTCGAGCCGACCTGTGACAATGAGACTGTCACACGTCGGCTCAATAGATCGGGAAGTTAGAGAACACATACCGGCGCTCGCTCACTTCTCGATCAAGTCCCTGCAGAGAGCCGTAACTGTTACTCATGGCTCCCTGCAGGGATTCCCCCCTCCCCTGTCCGGTCCTCCAGCGCTGACTGGCGGAACGGACGGGGAGGGGGCGGGTACAGCTGGCTCTGCCTCTAGATAGGCAGAGCCCGCTGTCAATCACGCAGCTGGGTGGATCTCGACAGTAATGTCGGGATCCGTCCCGGCGTCTCAGTATACCGCGAGCTGTAGCCCACTATATATTGAGCTTTGGGTCACGTGAGGACGCTAGTTTGTGTCCTCTCGTGACCCTTAGGAGAACTATGGGGAAAAACACTGACCCCATACTTCTCCTTTAAACATAAGTCAACATTTTAAAGCCTAACTGAACTTTCTGTAATAGTTCCCATGTGGCGTAAAATGGTAAGTGACCAGTTACCAATTATTTAATGGTAAAGCAGCCACAGCCAGAGTAAAATAGCCTGCCCCCTTTCCAATCATGCAGCCGCGTCACAGGTCTGAGAAGTGTAGTTGTCAAAAATGACACCAGCACACGTAAAATCCAGATGAGCATTTGGTGATCCAGAAGGATTTTCGGGGTGCTGGTGAAATTATTCACAACTATTCTATGCGTGCAGTGGTGCCATCCGCAGTCATTACAAGCACCCTCTCCATCGCTGGGAATACCTGGTAAGGAGTGCAGCAAGATCCTCTTCTTTATCCAGGTCTGAGAAGTGGCCTCTCCGCAGAGGTCTGACACACCCACTGATGAGTCAGAGCTACTGCTCCCTGATAATTGGAGAGTTGAAGTTCTGACTCAGTCAGAGCACTGTAGTGTCAGACCTCTGCAGATAGGATACTGCTTCCATACAGAGAGCAAGGGCCCTTCTCTGCCGCATGACATTGAGGGGCTGGCGATTTTATTAGGGGGTGGCTGAACGCTGCTCTCATAAGGAAAAAAGATAACCCACAAAGTCGGCATGGTCGATCTCCTGTGCCCCCCCCCCCATAGCACTCAGCTGCTTTCCCCTCCATCCTCTATCCCTCCATTCACTGTACATGTACACGATTTTGTTTTCAATCATTGGAAACAATAACTTACCTTCCAGATGCCTTCGCTGATGCTCTAACATGACATCTCTCCTGTAGAAGAGCTTATTGCACACCTCGCAGGCAAACTTTTTCTCCCCGTGTTTCTTCTTGTGCTTAGATAGGTTGCTGTTGGTGGAGAAGAATCTGTAGCACATTTCACACTGGAAGGACTTGTCGTCTGTGAAAAATCAGAGCTCCTGTTAGTCATTTGTATCAGCGATTACCTACAACTCCATGGCATAAAGCCTTGGTTCTCAACTGGTGGGTCGTGACCCAAAAGTGGGTCGGGACCCGATGTTCAGTGGGTCCCCGTGTGCCTCCACTTTTCTAGGTGAGAGGCTTCTCAGCCTCCCCCTAGTGCAGCAGTGTCAGTTCTCACGCCGAGCAGCCATTCAAAATATGCCGCCCGATGCCATGTCAGCTTGAGGTGAGATGGGATGGGGCTACGGCTGAGGGAGCTCCATCCATTGCATTGCTTACAGCTCCCTCATGTGCCCTGTAGAGGTGGCTGGACCAGATTGACGTCACATTCTGGCTACCAGCACCTCTATAGGGTGCACAAGGGAGCTGTACAAGCAATACACATATGAATGGAGCTCCACAGCACAGCAGCCCACACTGGAGCCCAGGCTAAGGATCCACTCCAGTCCTCGTAAGGTAGGGAGACTGGGTGGATCTTTTTTTTTGGGGGGAGTTTGTATGTGTGTGTGAGAATGTCTGAGTATGTGAGATTGTGCCTGTATATGTATGTCAGTGTTTTTGAGGGCCGTTCACACTAGTACAGTGCGCTACACTGTACCGTACAATCGCACCTACCGTGCATTCTAGTGTGGGAGGTGTGTTGCGTTGACATTCATTTGAATGGTACCCCAAACACACCTCCCACCCACAGTTAGTATGGCCGTACCAGTTAGTATGCATTCCAGTGCAGTGCGACTTGGGTCGCGACTTAATGACCAAGGACAAATGTGGGTCCTGAAGTTACACAGGTTGAGAACCACTGGTATAAAGCATATAAATGAGTGAGGATTGCTCTGCATATTCAGAAGAAATAGCGCCTGGCCCAGACTTTCCTGAAGATGCCAAGCTTAGTGGAGCAGGGACAGGAGAGAACAAATCTTTGGGGAGGTTGTGGGAAAGTTGCTGGAGAGAAGAATAGGCATTTAAAATAGAACTGCACTAAAAGTACCGCCTTGCTGCCGAGGCGCTTTAATTGTCTTCTAGCCAAATAAAATTGATTGGGGCACCCAAGACTTCCAGTGACGCCCGACATTGGCTTTGTGATATGGGAAGGGTCACGTGACAAGGCGTGCCACCCGGGGCCTTACCCACCTGTCCTGCAGTTGTGGAATTCCAGGAAGGCCTCTACCCTGAAGGACTTTTCACAGATGGCACACCGATACCTGTAATCTGCATCAGCCTGGGGATGAAAGAGTTATATTATTATTACACTAATGCAATATCCTTTGTATGGCAGAACTGTAATACTGTGCTATGTAGAGGCCGCTGCACACAGGGGTCACATAAAGAGAGCCACTCACCTCGTTCTTGCTGTGCTTATACGACACGTGCTGTTTCAGACTCTCTTTACGGCTGAACAGTTTAGAACATTCTTCACATTTGAAGAGCTTGTCACCTGGAAGAAGAAAACAGCCCCCCCACCAGCTAAATAGCAGGACCAGAATAACCAACTGCGTCATTGTTACATCACAGCTTCCCAACATCAGCATGGCGTTTGTTCCAGTATGTATGTCCGTATACAACGTATTTGTAGTCGTGCGGTGAAAACAAAAGGAGGCGCTACACCGACCACCAACGCGAGAAGGCACTATGCCGATCAGCAATGTAAGGAGGCTCTACACCGACCGCCAATGTAAGTAGGCACTAAGCCGATCACCAATGTAAGGAGGCACTACACCGACCACCAATGTGAGGAGGCACTACGCCGATCACCAATGTGAGGAGGCGTTACACCGACCACCAATGTGAGGAGGCACTACGCCGATCACCAATGTGAGGAGGCGTTACACCGACCACCAATGTGAGGAGGCACTACGCCGATCACCAATGTGAGGAGGCGTTACACCGACCACCAATGTGAGGAGGCACTACGCCGATCACCAATGTAAGGAGGCACTACGCCGATCACCAATATGAGGAGGCACTACGCCGATCACCAATGTGAGGAGGCAATACGCCGATCACCAATGTAAGGAGGCGTTACACCGACCACCAATGTGAGGAGGCACTACAACGATCACCAATGTAAGGAGGCGCTACGCCGATCAGCAATGTAAGTAGGCGCTACACCGACCACCAATGTGAGGAGGCGCTACGCCGATCAGCAATCTAAGGAGGCACTACGCCGACCACCAATGTAAGGAGGCACTACGCCGACCACCAATGTAAGTAGGGACTACGCCGACCACCAATGTAAGGGGGCACTACGCCGACCACCAATGTAAGGGGGCACTACGCCGACCACCAATGTAAGGGGGCACTACGCCCAGGGCCGGCCTTAGGGGTGTGCGAGCAGTGCGGCCGCACAGGGTGCCATGGCAACAAGGGCGCCGTGCGGCCGACACAGCTCGTCCTGGGGGCGGCTTCTCTCCCCCTCACCGCTGGCCAT